CTTGGCACTATATGCCAAAAAGAAACTTTTCCAAGTTCTTCCTTCATTACCCAACTCTACATTTTTTAAAAAATATGGAGGATTACAAGTGAATAGCCACATGAGCTCTGACATGCTTATATCAACCTTAGTACTGCTGGCAGGCCTGTTTACCATTGCTTCCTCATGCTGCTTTCTGGGCTATAGGGCCCTTGATTTTGACCCCGAGGTCTAGTCTAGCTGCTGCTCATATGCCAGTCATTTCCAGGTGCAGTGTCTGAACACTTATGACGATAGGCACAATCTATTTGAAAATAAGTCTTCAGTCCACAAAGTAAGTGAACAATATTCCCAGTCTCTTATTTTCTTGCATGTTTGAAACTAATAGAGTACTAGCAATCTGTGTGCTGCAATTTCCGCAGATGGCATTCAGATAGACCACTTTCCATGAAAAATGGGAACACAGACATGTACATAGAGAGTAAATTCATTGTTGCAATTAAATCCCCACTTTACTATGAATAATTCTTGTTTTCAAATAAGATTTTATGCACATTTTTTCAATTGCTTTCAATGTTTAAAGCTTAGATATAAAAACAGTACCTTAAAAAATCTAAGCAAGAGGGGTTATATGTATTCATTACATTTCATTTTGGCTGATTATTTAAGTGTTGTCATAGTAGATTTCAGGCTTTCAATGTAAAATGAGATATGTGCCCTGTCTTAATTGGTCATAATAAAATGTAATGTAGTATAGCAAGAGTTTAGATAAAAAGCCTTTTTATTCTGCTTTGAACATGACTTTGATTTATTGCTAGAGCAGTGGTCCTTTTGCAGCACAAGCATAATTTCAAAACTGCTTGGAATAAAATGCGTGGTTATTGATTGCAGAGACTAACCTCAAAGAAGGAGGGAAGTAGGACCTCCAAGGTTCTGGTTTTTGGTGAACGGGAGGCTGAGGAAACTATACCCCAGCACTTTCCTTAAAGTGGTACCCTTTAATTCTTTCCTCCCATATAAATGACACAGTCACACAAACAGGCATGCTTGCTATTAGTTCTGTGATGAAAAAGAAACTGGAACATTGGTGTGGCATAGGAGGAGGAAGGTAAAAGATATTTTGGGGATATTAATTCTTCCTGTTGTTGTTTACCACCTACCAGAGATATTGGCAAGTTTTTGGTTTAAAGTCCCAATCTGAGTCCAAATCTTTGGTACCAAGTCCCAAGCCTGAAGCCACAAGCCTGAGTCCCTATTGAAAGCAAACTTCCCTTCCCTGAAAAATTGTAGGAGGTGGGCAGGCTCCAGATCAAAAGTAGAGTCTGAGTCATTGAAAAAAAACAAAACCCTGAGTCACCAGTGTGACACAAGTCCAATTTGACAGTGAGTCCTGCAAATTGAGTCCCCTTTCCTGCCACCTACCAGATGTTGTTATGGCTGTTCCAACTTTGAATGCACCCACCAGCAAATAAAGGGGATCCACCATGATTTCCAAGAACACATTAAGCCTTCACCACCCAGAACTGTGATGGGGACACTTTATTTATCAGTTAGGAAAGGACTGAAAATTATGCATTTTCTTACACTAAGGAACAGGGTTTCAGTTACAGTAATGTAAAATATTTATGGTGTTCAGAATAAACAGGACGGAACATGAACTAAGAAATCCGTCTATCAGTAGGTAAAAGCTTCTCCTCCCCCCTTTGCCACTTTTGGCATTTCAGCCTGTTCCAAACTCACAATTATGTTTTCCTTTTTGTAATGCAGAAATGTTAGCATAATTTAAAAAGAAAATCTCAAAGGAGGTCTAAGTTATTGATATAATTGGGGAAGTACAAATTGTACATAGGGGCCTTTCTGTAGTCTTGTTCTGGAAGAAGAGCAAGTATTAAAATAGTGGTTAAATAAACTTAATACTGCAGAAAAAACTAGGCAAAAATGAGAAATCCAGGAGATATTTATACCTAACTGTATGACTTGTGCAATGTCTCTTGTATCAACAATTCATGTAAAGATACTATCCTATGTATTTGCGAAGACTTTCATGGCCAGGATCTAATGGTTGTTGTGGGTTTTTCAGGCTCTTTGGCTGTGTTCTGAAGGTTTTTCTTCCTAATGTTTCGACAGCCTCTGTGGCCGGCATCTTCAGAGGACAGCACTCTGTGCCCTTGTGCAGTTTGTTTGGGAGTTGAGTATTTATGCCTGTGAGATCAGCTTTTGTCCTTTTCAGGAGATGGGTGATTATGGTGATCAGTGTGGTGATCAGAACATCAGTAGAAATGGTGTTCTTCAATGTTCCTCAGTGTTCATCAGTGGTGATCAGAACACCAATAGAAATCTTGTGAGACACTCTAAATTCCCCTTTTGGAGGCCCCAAAGGATACAGAGGGTGAAACTGTGTTGGCTGCATAGAATAAATCTCACATGCTTTTGCATTCTTTTTTGTTTTTGTCTAGTCAATGCCTGCCAGTTTTGGTTTCTTGTTAAAAAACAAGCTGAAATAAAAATTTGCCCCATTTGCACTGGCCAATTTCAACAGGTACAATTATCTCAGTCACTCTCAGCCTGAAGAGCACCCTGTTGTATCTGCCTGCCATATTGGTGTTAAAGCTGAAGCGTTTCCCAGAAGAACAAGAGATGGCAACACTAATTCAGCACTACAAACATGGCTGAAGACATATAGAAAAAAAAAGTCCAGACTTTTAAAGTGGAAGTCCTTGAAACGTACTCTGACTTCTCAGGCCTGAATGAACAGATCTACCCATTCTAGTTGCTCCCACATTCTAATCCAGTTGCAATTTAAAAGGCAACAGTTCATCAGCCATTGTGAATCATTTTCTTCTTTGTGTTTATTTGGTTAAAAAAAAAGATTAAATTGTTTATGTATGTGGATACAAAACAAAGGCTGCTTAACAAAGTGATTAAAATTGTTACTTTTGAATACATGCAATACATTTGTGGCTTACCGAGTTCATTTAAGCAGCCAATGTACTGGAAATTTAAACAAGATCTTTCCCTCTTGCCTTCTTGAGCTGAATGTAAGAAGAAAGAACACTGAGATGCTTGAAATATGTCAGCTGAACAGACTTTACATAGCTTAAGTCAATTATATGAAACAGCAGTAAGATAATCAAATCAGAGGTTGATGAATTTCTGCTTTCCCCTCAACTATTCATAAAGGCTACAGATCTCTTGCTCCACAGGATAAAACTGACCATGTAAACCAACCAAAGTTCACCAGAGCATCTTGCCATATGCCGCCCAGAGTAGACCTTTGGTCTAGATGGGGGGGTATAAATGTAATAAAATAAATAAAAATAAATAAATAAAATGTGTATTTGTCTAGAATTGCAGCCTGTTCTTTTTAGTTAGCATTTGCTTTGGTTATTGTCGGTTTTTTGGACTGTTTGGCTGTGGTCTGGAGGTTTTTCTTAATTTTTCGCAAGTTCCTGTGTCCAGCATCTTCAGAGGACAGGAGCTAGAATTCTGTCTGTGTCCACAGAGACTGGCAAATGTTAGGAAGAAAAACCTCCAGAACACAGCCAAACAGCCCCAAAAGCCCCACAGCAACCATTAGATCCTGGCCATGAAAGCCTTCAAGAAAACATATCATTTGCTTTGTTTACTGTTTTCTTCTGCCCAGAAATGGTATTTTGTAGTTTTTCTGTCACTGGGATTATTTGCATGATAGTGGGATCTTTCTTGCTTAGGAGTTCATCTGTTCCTGCTGCTAAATTCTCCACCTGTGTTCTTTGCTTTGTCACAGCTTAATGTAACAAATTAATTAATTAATTTGCAGTTAATTGTGACTTTCAGAGAAGTATTTACTTTTAGGTGGAAAAACAAAGACCAGCAAGATATTTTGTAACCAGAGGTGGAACAGTAAATGGTGTTCCACCCAACCACCCTGGCCCCCCACTCAAAGTGTGTACTTCTGTTATCCAGCTACTTTTCACTTGAAGCAAAATGCAAGCACTTTTGCCTTTCCTGACAGTAAAAACATAGCCACAATAAATTATGTCATTAACAATGTGTTGCTCTCAGGTATATAAATCCAATAAATAAATAAATAAATAAATAAATAGCCACAATAAATTTTGTCATTAGCAATGTGTTGCTCTCGCCATACCAAAAATTCAATGAGTACCTAGCCTGCTGGTGGTGGTGGGGGGGGAGAAAATGTTGTTTGCACAATCATGTTGTAAACCTCCCAGAGAGTGCTTCAGCACTACAGGGCAGTATATAAATTAAAACAACAAGAACAACAATTTCATTTTACCCAATGGTAGGACTGGTCCTGTGGGGGACAGGTCTGTGACAACAGCCACAAGCCTTAGCCTCTTGCCATGTCTTATATCCACATGTCTCATCCATCTCTGTGAAGCCATTCTAATTTTTTTTTTTTTGGAGACACTTACTGTAAGGAGAGGTTAGGACCTGCTTCTGCAATGTGGAGTCCATGTATGTGTCTCCCTAAAGAGGATCAAAGTACATACAGGTTTGTATGGAATGTTTTGATGTGTTTGGGCAGAGTTAGAAATACTTACAAAAACCTAAAACATCTCACCATTGTGACCAGAAGATCTATGTGCCTGGTCACTGCTGGTGGGCAACTTTAAGTCCTTATTCTTTTGTTTCTAGCAGTTCTTACATATAGGGCTAAAGCCAGTTGGAATCCCAGTTCCAGCTAGAACAGGCACATTGAATCAATGGGACTGCTGTAGTGTTGATGCAGTGAGTCCCATTCATTCAATAGGGTTTAACAATTGGATTTAACCATTCTCGTACTTAACACTTCTTTTCTTTTATCTTAATCCACATTTTAACTGGCTAGACCTTCAGAGGACTGTCTTCTATAAGATAGGGTACATTCTACAGTCTGCTCTGCAATTTCAGTGAATGATATTGCAAAGTATGTTACTGAACGTCTGTACAGATCTGTTGAGTATGATGTTATAATCATGTAAGATCACATCACAGATTAAATGATTGCTATCCTCATGTTTGTGTTCTTTCTGCAGGCAAAAGCGGTTTTAGCCAAAGTCGGTTACCCTGAATTTATAATGAATGATACATATATTATTGAAGGCCTCAAAACAGTAAGTTGTGTTTTTATGATATTTATTGTTATTTGCTATGATGATAATGACTGCTCTCTATATAAAGTAAATGCAGAATGGTTGTTATGGGTTTTCCGGGCTGTTTGGCCATGTTCTTAAGGTTTTTCTTCCTAATGTTCCACTAGTCTCTGTGGTTGGCATCTTCAGAGGACAGGAGTTAGAACTCCTGAGCACACACAGAGGACTGACAGAGTTCTGACTCCTGTCCTCTGAAGATGCCGGCCACAGAGATTGGTGAAACGTTAGGAAGAAAAACCTTCAGAACATGGCCAAACAGCCCAGAAAACCCACAACAACCACCGGATCCCAGCTGTGAAAGCCTTTGAGAATACATTAAATGCAGAATAATGACATAATTAAAACATGCCCCTGTTCTACTAGAGTGGTCCTGACCCGACCAGATAGGTGGGATATAAAATAAATAAATGAATAAATAAATAAGGCTCTCAGTACAGATTATTTTAAAGGGAATTGGGTAGGAAAGGAAAGATAATAGAAGAAACTAATACATTTTTAAAACCTGAAACACAATTAGTCCATTGCTAAGAATGAATTATAACTAAAAACCTAGAATGTATATTTCATGGTGAATATCTACACAATGGCCAGAATCCTACTGTCATTTTATCCTTGCATAAGAGATATCATGTTAGTCTTGAGGGAAAATAAGGAGGTGCTGGTTGGGTTAACAGGTGCAAGGCTGCTCAGGCACATACCCAGGAGCAAAAACAGCTCATCATTAATAAGCAGCAGTTGCTACCAAGACTTACATGATTTCTGTTATGCAAGTGTGAATTACCAATAGGTCATACCCTTTCAAAGAACAAATTGTGATAGAAATTTCTCCCTGTCTGTTGTGCCTGTTTTTTCTTGTGTCCTGGTTTATACTTTGGCAATAAACTTTTTGGAACTGAAAAGAGAGGGCAAGCATCTGCCTTGTAGTGAATGAATAAATGACCATCTCTTTTGCATGAATCTCAAAGAATGTGCATATTAGGCAGGTCCAACCTGGCCATGAAGGTTTTGCCTGCTTTCCACAAACAACTCAATTAGCTGGCTGATCTCACTGGTAGACATCATGATGTTGCTCATAAGAGTCTTGCACACAAAGGTGGAGAATATAAGGCAACTATCTTCACATGCAGTTTATGGACCAAGTTTACACGTTGCACTGTACCCTTCCCATTCTCTGTCTTCATCCTCCTCATGCATATTCTCATTTCCCTCTTTCTCTGTTTCTCCTGCCTTCCTGGCGCAAGTTTTCTTGTGCTGTTCCTAGTAGGCTTCATTGCCACAGGTATAGCCTGGCTCTGCAAATGCAGCACATCTATCTAGAATGTGTATATTCCCCATAGCCACAAGTGCATCACACAAATGCAGAATTAGGGTCAAGAAACAGATTTCACATCTTTAGTATCTCAGCATTAATGTTTTTAAGGTTTTGCTCTTTTGGGGATACAGTACTTCTTTTTACTGTAAACCTGAGACTCACTTTTCCACACCAAAAATAGTCACATTCACATGCACTGAACAGTGTTTCGATGAGCAAAGCTCTAGAACCCTTTATATGTTCTTGACCTACTGTACAATTGCTAGAAATATAATTAATTAAGCACAAGAGAAAGCATGCAAACATCTTATTCTTTAAATAATTTATGTCATTCAGAACATCCAGAATATTTGTGTGACTTTTTTTTTGCTGTCATGTTGAATTGCATTTCTCTTGTGTAAATATTGTGTGTATCTAGTTCTCTTGCGTAAGTGCACTAAGAATAGAGGTCCTCCTTAATTCCTCAGCATAATCTTTCTAAATATCCTGAGAAACTAGCCACGGCATTAAAGTAACTGCATTGTAGTGACAGTGGTGGTGGCAGTGAGATGACATTGGGCTTCAGTGATGTTTGATTGACAGCTGATTCATATATTCTCAAAAGAATCATAGTTTTGGTAGATATTGCCCAAGACATTAATGGCTGTCACACAGACTCTTCTCAGTGCTGCTGGAAGCAAATGGATATTAACTATCTTAAATGCTTCATTTCTACTCTAAAAATGTACGCCTTTAGTTATAGGAGTTTTGCGTGCTGTGCACATTTCTTGAGTTCTACTTAAACTCCATTGTTTTTTACATGAGTCTTTTGTCAAGCATCACATCTCATGAGAATAAAGCATTTCTAATTGAAATTGAGGATGACAAGTAAGTAACTCAAGCCTTAGTTAATCCATAAAGAGAAGCCTTTACCATATCTGTCAATCTGTTTGCTTGGCAATGTTTACAGTGTCTGTCTTCAACACAAAACCCTGACTGCTGTCAACTGTGTCACTGGAGCACATTAATGATAATTGCTATCCATTTTCTGAGTCATAATCTTCCCACTAAATTACCAAATATTTCATTGAGGTAACTCCAATACACCACACAACTCTGAGATCAATAGTTTTGTCTTTAGTAGTTAAAGCAGACTGGGAAATGACAATGTCACTCCTTTTATTGCTTTATGTTCACATCCTATCAAATCATGGTAGTGCAAAACTCCACAGTTATAGATATTTAAAGCCAACGAAGACAACAGCTACAACAGAACTCCCATAGAAAAGGATGTCTGCAGCTGGAAATGGATATTTGACTTAATAATGATAATGCACCATCAAATTAATTCCGACTTATGGTAACTCTTTTCAGAGTTTTCCAGGTAGACAATACACAGAAGTAGTTTACCATTCACTTCTTCTGGGGCTCTCCTGGGACTGTGCAGCTTGCCCAAGGTCACATACACTAGCTCTTCTCCCTGGAGGTACAGTGAGGAATCAATCTGGCTTCACAGCCAATTGCCTAAATCACTGAGTTATCCAGCCAGCTGTAGGTGACTTATGATATCTAATTTATTTCCAGTTTTTTTAAGCCAAGCCAAAACTACTGGGCCACTATTCTGTTCAACATTTACATGCATAGAAGTTCTATCATGGAAGCTACTGAGGCAATATGAGATGAGATGCCGATTACTTGTGGTCACATTCCAGATCTGGAGTGCCTGACCAGATCACACGTCCAGACACATACCGAAACTGTGCATAAATGCCCCTTGTCAAATTGCTGTGGCACCTTCTAGCAGTTGGAGCTCCATGTACATAAATACTGAACAGGCCATTGGCGTATGTCAAATTTTGAATCCATTTGTTGTTTCAAAAAGTAATGAACAAATGCATATATTAAATAAATATGTCACTAGTGTTCCTGTGGCTAAAACTGTGCAGCATGAGATAAACAAACCTAGATTATGCAAAATGAAGAATATTACCACCAACAAAACTAAAGAAAAATAAAAGTCGCCAACAACTGAAGAAGAAGTGTTTGACAAATTAAGATGCACAAAGACAATACTTAAGAATGTTTGAGGATAATTTCTGGCTACATTGCCCTTATTGACAACTTCACAGGACTTGTCATGAAAAAACTTTCCCCAACCCCACCCATTATGACTACGCATGGAACCAATCTATAGCTTTTGTAGAGTCTTAGAAATTTGATCCCAAGTTGCTAACACACTGAGCTTAACCACTGTCAGAATCTACATTTGGGAACAGTTTATTTATGTTTCATCAGTGCAAAACTCTGGTGTCTAATTTGCAAAAAGTCCAAGCTTATTTTATTTACCTGGGTGAGTAGGACTTCAATAGAATTTGCTCCAAAGTAAATGTGCAAAGGACTGAGCATTTGACATATCCAATCCACTCTATAGAATGTATCCAGCATGCTTTGCACAGTTTTAACAATTACTTTAAGAGAGCTGAAGAAGATGGATAGATAGAGCCAGGATGGAAAAAACAGGGCTTTGACTGACAGACAAAGCTGAAAGTAGAGCTTGAAGCACAACATTTTTGATGGAAGTACTTTAGTCCTGGAATTCACTTGGTTTTATATGGCTTAACTCTTCTAAATAATCCTCCTCCCCCAGCTTTGGGGATCCATAGGAAGCCTTTAGGCATGGAATAAAGTAAGGAATGATGTAGAACTAGAAAATTGTAACCTCCAGTTCTGACAGAAGGATCAGGACCACCACCAGCAACAATCCTGCTTTAAATGATTTCCTGCCAAGTACAGCAGCTCCTGAAGGCATAGTAGGATGAAAAGGATCCCTAGGGATCCATAACCCCTGCTAGGCAAGGTGGGATGCTTTGAATTCCCTTAAAACAGCCACAGCCTGGCTGCAGCAGATGACATGTCTGGAGTTCTATGGTGTAACTTGTGCAGCAGTATTTCAGCCATTGAGTTTTGAGTGGATAAAAGAAAGATGGGAATAATTCTGCATTTTTTGACATAGTATTTTTTTTAAAAAAAACACCTAAACATCTTGCATATTTTAACTTAATGCCTAAGTGTAATGCACATTTTCTCAGATATCTAAAAACAGACTTTTTTTTCTTTTCTGAATAGACTGGAACTAACAAGTGTGTGTATTGGTGGAGGGTATTTTATTCCTGTTTGATTTGAAGTAATGTTTGGCATTTGAGAGAGCATGCCAAGTTGCTGATTCCTTTTGAACAGGCCACTAGAAGCAATTAGATGTTAATTATTTGGAATCTTTACCAGTAAGCTCTGAGTCTGAAACGGTGACCTAGCATTATATCCAATTACAACTTATGTGAGCCACCAATACTGCCAACAGTCATATTTTGTGACTGTCTCCTCAGTGTAATAAAATATGTATTAGCCCCTGAAGGGTATAATTTGAAAATAAATAAATAAATACATAGCTGCTTTGAGTATTCAGACTCCCAGGCCAGATCAATTTTATATTTTCCAGGGGTTTTGGGCTGCAAACCTCTCATGTTTAAATGCATGTTTTGGCTTATCCTACTCTTGTCAGTTGTCAGAATTATTAACTCTTTGTTCCTGCTCGCTCTTTGGCTGAGATTTTAGAATACAATTGACCTCACCCCACCTGCAGGAATTTATCAAGACATCCAACTACTGTATCAGCAAAATGTGTTTGGCTACCATTCTGCCTACTGAAAATGTAAAATAATTATTCTGCAGATGAGTCCAGGATGTGGATGTCTAAAATAGCATTTCTATCACTCCGCATCAATGTGTAGTAGCTGAAATACATAAACTATCTCACATCATCCATCCATCCATCCATCCATCCATCCATCCATCCATCCATCCATCCATCCATCCATCCATCCATCCATCCATCCATCCATCCATCCATCCATAGTATATATATAAACTCATGTGTCGTCAAGTCAGTTCTGATGGTGATCCTTTTTCACAATTTTCCAGGTAGAGAATGCTCAGAAGTAGTTTACTATTCCCTTCTTCTTTTGAAAGTTTTCTAGTAAGCTAGAAATGTCAGTATTCACCAATTTTCTGACGTGTTTGGTATAGTGTCAGAAATGAGACCTGCTGAATTCTTTAGGACTTAATCCCAGGGAAGTGGTTATAGGACTGCGGCTGAATTAGAAACTTATGTTTGTTGCAAAACAAATGCATCCCCAGGTAGCAATCTGATTTAATAGAATTGATGCAGTCACTGGAAGTGCATGTTATTTTTCAAGAGAACTGTTATTGCTTTCAATACAAAAAGAGAGAGAAATATCAAGACCAGCAGTTATTAAATACCTCATAGGAGACTGAATGTTGCCCTTCCCAATAAGGGATTTTTTTAAAAAAAATCTAGCTGTGTTGCATTGATAATTTTTGCTCAGAATTAGAACATTTTGATTCAGGCTATTTTGCTTTGTATGCATTAATTTTATTATTAATAACATTATTATTATTATTATCATTCTTTGTAAATCTATTGGTTACACTTGCATGACCCTTATGTTTTATTCCCAGATGAAGTTTTCAGAAACAGATTATTTTGGCAACCTACTTCAGACTCGCAGACATGCAGCACAATCTGATTTCTACTGGCTGAGAAAAGAGGTTCCAAAAACAGAGTAAGTAATGGGGGGGGAGTATTAGGAAATTGTTGAACTGACTCCTCACCACACAAGTAAAATGCAAGGAGCATAAGCGCTTTGAACATCATCTTGTGGAAATTCAGACTTACCATTCCCACTGACACACATATTTAAGATATCATTGGTGTCAATGAGACTAAGAAATATTTAGTTTTGATTGTTTTCAAAAAAAGAGGGGGGAGAGGAAGTGGCTGCTTTATGGTCTTGTGAATGAGTCATGTAAGTTGGATCCACCTCTGTCTTTGCCACTAGTCTGCATATTTTATAGACACTCCTGGGTTGCTGCCTGATCTTAAGGCTGCAGTCATTCAGTGCTTTCGCCTTCACAGATTGCTGCCTTGTTCTGGTGAAGGGGCTTGAGTAATTCAGAGAAACTATGGGCTATGCCGTGCAGGGACACCCAGGACGGACAGGTCATAGAAGCCCGGGGAGCTTCCCAGCCACCATCGGAGACCTCGCTGGGGGTCCTCGCTGCCACGATCGGTGCCTTCGGAGGTTTCAAACAGCTTTCCCACTGACATTGGAGGGAGCCATTTGAGAGCTCTGAAGGCAAAAAGGCAGGGAGAAAGGGTGGGAAATTCAAATTTCCAGCCCTTTCACCCTACTTTTTTTTACTTTGGAGCTCTCAAATGGCTTCCTCCAATGTCAGGAGGAAAGCTGTTCTCCGAAGGCACTGATTGCGGTGGCAGGGACCCCCCGGGAGGTCTCCCATGGTGGCAGAGAAGGCCTGGGAGACCTCCCTGGGGGTCCCTGCCGACACGATCTGCGCCTTTGGAGCTCTCAAAGGGCTTCCTCCGATATCGGGGGAAAAGCCGTTTGAGGCCTCCAAAGCAAAAAAGGCAGTGTGTGGACTGAAAACTTCCAGAAGTACAAGCTGGATTTCGAAGGGGCAGAGGAACTAGAGACCAAATTGCTAACATGCGCTGGATTATGGAGAAAGCCAGAGAGTTCCAGAAAAACATCTACTTCTGCTTCATTGACTATGCAAAAGCCTTTGACTGGGTGGACCACAGCAAACTATGGCAAGTCCTAAAAGAAATGGGCGTGCCTGACCACCTTATCCATCTCCTGAGAAACCTATACGTGGGACAGGAAGCAACAGTTAGAACTGGATATGGAACAACTGATTGGTTTTAAATTCAGAAAGGAATACAACAAGGTTGTATATTGTCCCCCTGCTTATTTAACTTATATGCAGAATACATCATGTGAAAGGCAGGACTGGATGAATCCCAAGCCGCAATTAAGATTGCCGGAAGAAATATTGACAACCTCAGATATGCAGATGATACCACTCTGATGGCAGAAAGTGAGGAGGAATTAAAGAACCTCTTAATGAGAGTGAAAGAGAAGAGTGCAAAAAATGGTCTGAAGGTCAACATCAAAAAAACTAAGATCATGGCCACTGACCCCATCACCTCTTGGCAGACAGAAGGGGAAGAGATGGATAACATCTTTGGTCCATGGGGTCACGAAGAGTCGGACACAACTTAACAACAGCAACAACATTCAGTGCTTTATGAAAACACTGTTTTAACAGTTGATTTTTTGCAGTTACAACATGTTTGGTTTCTTTCAGTTCTTTGTTGAAATAGCATCATAGTTTCCATAGAATCTGTATTAATACCTGCTTTCAGAGAAGGGGTATGATCAGATGGCTACAATGGAACACACCTGATTGCTTGGTTGTTGTGGGTTTTTTGATCTCTTTGGCTGTGTTCTGAAATGGTTTTTTTGGTCTCTTTGGCTGTGTTCTAAAAAGCCCGAAAAGCCCACAACCATTAGATCCTGCCCGTGAAAGCCTTCGCGAATACACCTGATTGCACTGGAAGGGGTTGCTTTGACATATCCTGGCCGTGAAAGCCTTCGCGCATACACCTGATTGCATTGGAAGGGGTTGCTTTGACAGGAGTGATTTCCCCAAAGAGGCCCTTCTGACCACCAGGGAATTGCTCCAGCCTGGTCCCAAAAAGTAGAAGCCCAAATCAAGGTTGATCTGGAGCACATTGCCCTGTGGATTGTGTAATTGCATGAGACTGCTGCACAAACAGTACGGATTGAGATCTATTTCACTGTGTGATTTTACTCTAGTTTGTGTACTGCCTAGCATCAGAGATAAAAAGAGTGACATGTAGCAAAACATTGGATTATGAGGGGGCATCTGGTCAAGATTAAAATCAATTAGTTATACCCTCTTTTAGGATGCTCTGTTCCATCCTGCCCCCTACTGTCTTTCACTTACACATCATTTTGTGGGGTGATTTAGATTTATTGAAAGGTGTTTTGTTTTTTAAACAAATCCTGAGCCTTCCCCAAGTCATCTGATGCCTCCCTCTTATACTTAGAAAATACCATTATATCTTGATAATGACCAGCTCTTGGAAAATCATTTCCCTATTATTATACATCATTAGTGATCTCAGTTCCAGTATAGTGGATTGAATCTCACTCACTGGATGCAAAAATAGTTTGTGGCTTGTGACAAATGCAAATGTATTAGTAATGACTGCACCAGCAGTATAGTAATTGTTATGCAGACGTGCATTGAAACTGGAGAGATAACTGGAGAAATCATTTTTTAGCCTCTTCTGTACCACATCTCAGCAAAACATATTATATTTAGTTCTTCAAGAGTTTCCAGCGTATGGGGGTGGGGTGGGGGATGGGATTTCCCCCCTTTTGAAAGACTAGATAAACACCCTTGATTGTCTGTTCTTGTGCAAGTGGCTAATAACTGCATTAATATAGTCTGAAGAAATTTTAAACTTGATGGAAAATGTCCTGAAGGTGAAATTATTTGGCAGTTACAGTAATCCCTGATATATACAACTTCAGGGCTGTCCCCTGTGGATTTCCCCTTCATTGTGGCTAAACTTTGAAAGAAAGGGATTTTTCCCCCAGCTTGGTGTGAAGCAGAATGGAATTGGGCTTATCTCTAGTCATTTTTTTCTCATTCAAAGGCTGCTTAATGTCACCCCTTCCCTCAAGTTTCATATTTATGTAGCTAAGCTTTCTATTTACTTACTTAAAACCTTTCTATTTAGTTACTTTTAAAAAATATGGCTCAACAGAGAACAAGAAAGTAGTCCTATCTGTATATGTGACAAAAACACCAGCCATTTCCATCCTTTCCTCTAGATAGCATCATTAACTTCTGGACACTGTCCCTTGAACCCTTATTTACATATTACATTTCTATTCCAACTCCCCCCAAAAGCAAAATGCCCCTTTTTTGAAAAGCTCCTATTTTCTCTCTCATTCCATTTCCCAACACCTGTTTTTTTTTTCATCACAGCTTCTCTGTGAAGTTAAAGTGAAGTTGAGGGTGTAGAACTGGACCAAATTTGCTCTCAGTCAGAGTTAAGCACCACAACAGAATAAGGAGATGAAATGCATTTCTCATAGGTCCTAATCTGGCACTCTAAGGATTACACCACTTTTTGTTCTTCTTTGTGGAGACAAAAAGGGGTGATTAAAATAATGTGAGATCTAAAATGGCACACTAACTGAAGCACAAACGGATAATTATAGCATAGGTTATAAAATCTGGTGTCTGAAATTGCTGAGGTGGGTTTTTTTTGTTTCCCAATCAATCAGACTCAAGTTAGTCATGCCTAATTTAAGTCCTATTGCCTTAATGATTAAAATCTCATTGATTCCAATGTGTCCATCTCATTTGGATGAAGTGTGATTCTAACACTGTATGCAGGATTTGGAATGTTATGTTAAAAAATTAACTGCTTAGTGGTTTAGGTATCTGGTTGCAGAGTCAGAGGTTGAGAGTTCAATTCCCCACTGTGCCTCCTTGACAGGGGCTAGATACAATGATCTATAGGGTCTCTTCCAGCTCTGCGGTTCTAAGATTATTAAACTGTAAAAATAATTTTTTTGCTGTTAGTGTCTAAATTAAAAAAAATATTTAACTTGTTAAATTAGCTTCACTAAAACAATTAGCACGCTACAGTGCATCATATTGGTGCTGTCTCCCATGGGACAGTTTTGACTTCGCCTAGTGTAAAAAGCACAAGAACATAGTCCCATTTCTTTTGCACATTCTATGTTTTCTTCGAAATGAGGAAAGATAGGAACTGATGAGACCACATTCCTATATGGCAGTATAGTAGCAGGAAGAATGATAGCGGTCTCTCTGGGTTATCTTTTGACCAGAAGCCCATAATAGGTTTATTATTCCTCTTTCTGTTTGCCTAGTACCTGGCACAACAAGGCCTTTGTGTGTGACAGAGCTACCATTAGGAGCCAATATACTGACAAACAGAAATTATATAGAATTGGGCACTGATCATCTTGTTTGCTCTTGTCCATGCACTGTAAAGAGTAAAAAAGAACATTTTAAAAGCTCATCCTAGAATCCTGCAGTAAAATAAACCCTGTTTACAAGTTCTGGAATCATGCATCCTCAACAGCGACAGAGGTAACAGAGTGTTGCTCCTCTTATTTTGCTTGGCTCACACAAGCAGTGATGTGTATGAAGAGGAGAAAATTCTTGCATGCATGGAGGCTCTACGTATGAGAAACAACCCAGATTTCCCAGGGTTCCTGGAAACTCTTTTCTTCAGACATACTGCCACATGCATGTGTAGTGATTAGAGAGGGAGTGAAGCTATCCAGCCTTCTTTCCATGCTGATAAATTTGCATTTCAGAACAACCAAGTAAAGCTGTATTAAAACAATAACAGTTAGAGTTGTGTGCCTTATTCTGATCTTTTCTCATCATCATCTTGCTCTGAATTAGTGTAGGCACGAAAACACATTTTTAGCATGTCGGTATTTGTTATCAATCAAGAATGTGTAGAAATCATTCTATGCCAAATTATTATGGGGTGTTTTCCAGCTCCAACTATATAAGGAAGCAAGCATGAGATTCTGATCATATTTGTGGAAATCTGAATGTGTTAAAGGACCCCTGTTACAGACAACCCATCATTAAAGAGAGAATTCCTTGAATGCAGATTGTG